AGTTTGAGAAAAGAACCCCGACAGGTGCACGCTACAAGATGCATCGTCTGTCTAGGGAGAAAGACTTACCCTTCCTCTCCTGGGAAGACCCGTGCCCTTGTTGTGTGAACAACTCTGCGCGCGCACCTAAGGAGGCTTACCTCCTTAATAGCCCATGGTGGTGCGTGCGTATCTCTAGTAAGATGTACAAAGGGATTGACAATCTGAAATCCCTTTATGACCGTGCCGGAAAGACTTTCTCCGGTGGTCCTTCTGCGGCACAGGATGTGCCGCGTCGTACTGCTCGACCAGACCCAGTACGTCAACCATCAGTTGGGAGCGGGGCTCCCAAGCATCCCAGGACGGGGGATAGCCGCGCCACCGGACGAGATAACTCGTCCGACGTCCGTTCACGTCGCGGTGGTTCAACAGCTGCTCAACCAGATAGCGCTGGCCACCACGAGAGTCCTCTAATGGAGGTGGAGGAGGAGGGAAGAAGCTCTCCAAGCCTCTCTGATCGCGAAAATCTTGCGTTACGCGACGACCTCGAGCATGAGCGGGACAGACGTCTTCAGTTAGCGGACACTGCCTCGAAGCATCGAGCTGAGTTTGCTTTTGCTCAGCTTGAGAACGATAGAGCTCTGACGTCTCTGCGTGAAGAGCTAAGGGTAGCTCGTGGGATTGTTGATCGGTCTCGGGCTGAGACCACTGCTCTTCAGACCCTTGTCGATGCCCACCATCGGGAGCACAAGGCTCTCTGCGAGATGCTTGAGCGCAAGGGCGTTCTTCATCGGAAGAAGCAGCGTACCGATGGTACGGCTTAAGCCGACCAATGTAAAACGTGGGATGCGTTCGCATCTTACGTGGCAATTCAATCGTGTATGCATTGCCTAGGCGATACAATACACGAAATGGGCCAATGTACTTGGGTAGTAGTTTACTGCTACCCAAGTTAGTCACTACATGCTTTGGTAGATTAGCCGTAGACATTAGGACTAAGTCACCTTTATTAAATAAAAGAGTGTTTGCCCTTCCATTCTTGTCAGCGTTTTGCTTTTGCTTATCCACCGCTTCAGCGATGGAGTCTTGCACAAAACGGACTACCGTTTCACGAGCCAGTATGAACTCATCTGATGACTCGTTAGCTTCAGTGCACTGTGGGTGCACTGCAGCGACAACAATCTTTTCTTCAGTGAGGGCTTCCGCACTCTCACTGGCATCATCTTCTTCGATATCGATGTTATCGATATCGGCATCAAACGCAATGAACTCTTTGTCAGAGTGTGATGAGCGTGAACCAAATCGGTTTTTGCTCGCGCGAGTCCCTCCCCCCTTTAGACCAGAGTTACACTCTAGTAAGGTGGGTACACGCGGATGGCGTAAGCCATTCACGTAAAATGGTGTATGTGCCGTGGACGCATGCACCGAGTTGTTAATGGCAAACTCTACCATTGGCAAAAACTCACTCCAACTCTTAAAGGAGTGTACTTATCCTCAAAGTATATCTTATAGGACACGATTGGCTTGTTCCGTCTGACCATCTGACTCTGGATAATCAGATGTCGACATCTTCAAGCGCGTTCCGAGTGATTTGAACTCGGAACGCCAGAAATCAGCAGTGAAGCGTGGATCTCTGTCTGATACGAGTTCACGGGGCAACCCATGAATCCGGAAGATAGTGTCGATAAAGACACAAGCACATCCACTTGCCGTGATTGACTCTGGTACAGCCACAAGGTGTACCATTTTGCTGAATCTGTCAACAAATACGAGAATACCCGTATTCCCGCGTCCGTCTTTGGGTAACCCGAAGACGAAATCCATTGAGATGGATTTCCAGCACTCAGCCGGAACCGCTAGAGGCTGTAAAGGTGCACGCAATGAAGTACTTGACTTCACTCGTTGACAGACTTCGCATGCGCGAATGTACTTGCGCACAAACTGATACTGGCGGGGCCAGTAAAAGTCTCGACTCACCGTGAGATATGTTTTCTCTCGGCCACAAAAAAAATGTCCTCCTATATGAGCATCTTGATACTCGAACATGATACGCAAACATAGATCAGTATCATCTGGAATGACAACACATGGTGTGTCATCAGAAACGGCTGTATAATACAGTAAACCGTTGCGAGTAGTGTATCGATCTGATGCAGATCGATACGCAGACAACAATCGTTTCAACGATTATAGAGATGGCTGTGAGAGATGTGTCAACAGCTTCACAATCTCACCATCTTGGGCATATGCCCGCCTCACATCATCATACAACGTTGTAGATGGGACTGAGGACGTCATAACCGCAACAGTGACTGCCTTACTGTTTGGTTTCACGACTGATTTAAATTCGGGACGACGTGAGAGTGCATCAGCGACGACGTTAAGTCGTCCTGGTTTGTACTCAACCGTAAAGTTATTCTGCAAAGAATGACAACCACCGCGCCATTCGTTGTGAAAGGTGCGGGCTGTTCACTGCCGTGCGTAATGACGCATGGTCAGTGTAAACAATGAAGGGTCTATCTCCTAATAGATAGACTCTGAACTTCGCGAGTGCATAATTCATGGCAAGGAGTTCCTTGTCATGCACTGGATAGTTCCGCTCAGCTGGTTGCAGCTGACGCGACTGATAGCAGACGACGCGTTCAACGCCTTCAAGGTCGTACTGCATTAATGCACAGCCGATTGCGAAATCGCTGGCATCACAGACCACATGAAATGGCCTGTCCTGATCGGCAATTGCTAGGACTGGGGATTGTATCAAGCTCTGCTTGATACCATCAAAAGAGCGCTGACATTCAGCGTTCCATAACCACCTCTCGTTCCTTTTCAACAAACGAGAGAGGTGCACAGTCATCTCGGCGTAATTGCGTGAGTACTTGTGCAAATACGCCGCTAGCCCAAGGATTTTCGAAGACCTTTGACATCAACTGGCACAGGCCAGTCGGTGATCGCCTTGATCTTTTCGGGATCAGGACGTACACCGTTCTTACCAACGATGAATCCAAGAAGTGGTATTTCGCTTGCTGCAAATATACACTTCTTGAGGTTGGCATACAATTGATGCTTTCGCATGATTGTAAGAACCTGTCGGACGTGGTACCTGTGAACCTCAACGTCCGACTTTCCATCCATAGCTCGACTATGGATGAATACGTCATCGAAATAACTTGGTGCGAATTCTCGTACTGGTCTCAACAGATGTGATACACATCCGTAGAACGTGGCAGGGGCATTACTAAGCCCTTGTGGCATTACTAGCCACTCCCAGAGCATGCCGCTAGGCGTGCTAACTGCGGTATAGGGTATATCCCGTTCTCGCATAAGGATTTGATAGAAGCCATCCATCAAATCCATGGACGAAAAGATGGTACTCTTTGACATACCATCAATGATTACGTCCTTCCTCGGTATCGGCGTCTGAGCCGGTACCGTTGCAGCATTCAACTTGTTAAATGCATGCACTATCCGCCACCCTCCTGTTGCTTTTCGCACACAGAAGGTCGGAGAGCTATGTGGGGAAGTTGATTCCCTCACATGGCCCGCAGCTAAACGATCGGCAAAGAACTTGTCGATCGCAAGTACTTGTTCACGAGGCAGTGGCCACTGCTTCATGACACAGTACTTCGAGCCTGGTTTAAGCTCGACCTCGTGTCGAATACCTTTATCCTTCGGTAATTCGCACGGAACAGTTTCAGGGAATACATCCTTGAATTCAACCATATCTTCATAGAGAGGATTTGTCTTGAGCGATTCCCACGATTGGGAGTCATATCGCTCAACTCGTGTCTTTTCATCGAGGACACTCTAGTCCATAGGTGAACTACTGAGAACTCTCTCGTTCTCAGTGAAAACTGTTGCTGACCTTATGTCGGCTACACACTCGTCGTCAGCGACGAGTACGCAGATCTGCTTGACTTTGCCACTACGCAGATCACGCAAGAACCTTTTATGTTCGAGCGTTGGCAACTGTGTGATCTCCGAAGTCAACTTCGGAGGCGCAATCAGATCAAGTGTATAAGCGCCTACACTTGATCCGTTATTGACTATGGCCTTCAATGTCTCTGTCATGTCCTGGGGACTTATTCCCTCAGGCCTCGAAGGACTTATTCCTTCGGCTTCCCGGGGACTTATTCCCTCGGGTTTCGGGGAACTTATTTCCGCCGTATTTGTAATATCGGGACTTATTCCCTTAACTTCCTCTAGCTGGGGTTGCGCAACCACAGCGAGATCCTCTACGAAAGACTCTCCAGTCGATCTAGGATTATCGTTTCGCTTAACCTGAGCGATCGATTGTTTCTCTTCTAGATGTTCCCCACTAGGGATACATCTTTGTCCCGGTCCACTCGACTTATTCGAGTGGTGGACCTTCGGCGCAGCCTGTGTTTCCTCACAGCCGCCGGAACTTTGCTCCGAAGTGTAACCGTTTGTTACACTAAGGTTTTGTGCAGTCGTAATAACGACCGTACCACAAGTGAGGCCATCGCACTCACTCGTAGTACATCCACACGCTTGTGGACGCTCCAAAACGTTCATCAGATGGCCATCTGATGAACAAGCGGCAGGCATCGTTACTGTTCGATGTTGCCAGTTTACCCGTGGTTCGTACCTTCTGAGCCACGGTATTCCAAGGATGACATCAAATTTGTCATCCAAATCCAATACGATAAAGGCATCGTCATATTGGATATCTTCTAGCGTATAGTGAATCTTCACTATACGCTTCATGACGGTTACGGATGCGCCTGTTGCAAGACGTACCGTCATCCTCGTAGGAGGTGTGTCACACTCAACAAACTTGAAGTGACCATCTTCTAGCGATTGGCGTTGTACAAAATTGTTGGGCGCCCCACAATCGACTAGAGCTCGAAGGGACAACTTATTTGTCACTTCGAGTTTCAAGGTAATGAGTGAGATCTCATTACCTAGAGCAGTAACGCACAATGTTTGTGTGTTGGGAGCAACCTTCATCAAGAGGCCTGCAAATTCTCTTGACGTTGCTGGACCAGTAGGGTGCTTCGCACCTACTGACCCTGTCCATTTTTTGGCGGTCCACCCCGTTGTTGCGTCTTTGCACCAACAGCGGACCCGCATCCCTGCCCCTTTCTCATGGGTGGACGGTCATTACGCCCAGTGTTGCGAGACACTGGACGAGGGGCACTACACTCGTAAGCGTACTGTCCTGTCTTCTGACATCTGTTGCATTTCTGCAACTTCTTGTAGTCTGTAGAGCGAGCCTTCTCGCTCTCTACATAACAGAGTTCCATCGGCTCTGGACTTTTACTGTCATATCGTCTCGGTGGACGATATGATGTCGAGCTGGCGCAAGCCTGTCTCAGACTGAAGTCTTCCTGTTCCGCAATGGAAATGGCTTGTTCTAGTGAATCTAGTTCAAGTTGGAACAGGCGAGTCTTGACGGGACCATCCGCAAGACCCTGCATGAACACCGAAACCAACGTGTGTTCATCCACCGGATTGGAACTTATACAACTCGTGAGAGGTCGTATATGTTGAGCATAAGCGTGCACATCACGCTTACCTTGTTTGAGCTTCAAGAGTTCAGTTCGAGCTCTGGACTCAGCTCCAGGCGGTTCAAACGTTTGTCTTAGCCAAGACTTGAAGACTTCTAACGACCCAAACGCATATGGGTCGTGCAAGTTGAGCCCCAAAGCCCAAGTCTTGGCACGTCCTGCCAGATTTGACTGGGCAAATGCAGCTTGCATATCCCCGTCGTCGATGCGACGCGCCCTTATGGCGTCATCCATTTCGACGAACCATCTCAAGAGGGAGTCCTCTTCGACTCCCCTATACTTGGAGATGTCAATCTTCAAGGTCTCGGGTCGACGCGAGTGCATCGACCCACCAGCAGCAGCCTTCTGCTGTCTCAACAGTTCAAACTGTTGAGCACCCTGTTCTCTCAACAACTCTGATTGTTGAGAACCTTGTTGGTGAAGCAAGGCTACTTTCTCGCGTTCGGCGTCAAGTTCATTTTGAATGAACTTGGCGATAGTAGCATGTTAAGCATCTCTATTAAGAGCCTTTAGTATGACGCTAACTGCATGGATGCCCATGGTTGAAACCATCCGTTCAACCACATCCCATTTGACATCGCTCAAATGGGAGTAGCCGTCACGCGTAGCGTGAAAGCTTTGGTCATCTTCATCATCTAACATATTCATGTTAGATGTGAACGTGGTCCTTGGACGGACTACAAAGTGCTGCCAGGTGTAACGGGGCACCCTGAAGCTTGTACTGGTGACAGTACAAGCTACTTATTCTGATGACAGAATAAGGCGGTGCCTCGTAACTTCACGTACACTCGTACGTGCAGAGGAAGACGGTAAGAAGAAGTGAGTACTTGGTTAAAGTAAAAAGTAGAACTGTATATTTATCATAGTTAATGTCTGCAATAAACCACTATTTATCCTCATTTAACTATGTCTAAATACAAATGTGCAAATCAACTATCTACTCACCACTCATTGCGTGCGTCTGTCGTGGCGCGTCTTCGTAGGTTGGTATAATGGCTTATATCAACCAATTAGGAACTACTCGTAAGTGCTGCAGAATATTGTCCTTATGACAATATTCTGAGAATATAACTCTTATAGATATATTCTATTAACAATTTCTTAAAAATTGTTATGTAGCGATTCACCCCGTTACAGTTTGTCTACCACACATGCCACTACTCCATCCTTTTTGGGGTCTGGAGACACATGCAATATCCAGTGCACCTTAAAGCATCTCTACTTGTACCTTGTAATCACCTGGCACTTTTAACTGTAATAATGGCAATAAAAGCGCTCGAATCATATTCGTCTTATTTTATCAATTAGTAGATAGGGACGCAAGCCCTGGAGCTAGCCTTTTGGTATGAGTATCTTCACTTCAAAAAGTTGATTTGAGCTTTGCATTTTTCAAGTACCTTGCGCTCAGTCACTATATCAGCTTCATCCTTCACGCTCGAGAAAACCTTCTATTGACCAATGAGGAGTAGGTAAAAGATAGATCTCACTTAGTAAGGGTACACGTAGCGTTTATTTACAGATGCACACGAACAAGGTGACAGAATGATTCGCATGTAGTACAATGTTCAAAGTACGTGGCGTTATTTACATATGCACACATACACACAGATAAGTACAATTTACAAAGATCAGCATTTACAATGCTCACAGTCACCAATAGCTTCACCTTAGGGGTGGACCCCTGGTGTAGTGGCGCAGTAAGCTGACTTCCAAGTCGCTGATTGCGGGTTCGAACCCCCCCGGGGGCCGAAACCGGAATTAGTAACGGGTGAACAGCTGAATAACCATGCCTTCCACCAACAAACCATCTGGGAGATGCCGTAAAAAGTATAATGTGACGAATTCAACCAATAGCTTCACCTTTCGGGCTCGCAAGTATTTATGAAACAACATCAGCTATTGTCGAAATACATAAAACTGTAAATACTTATTGGTAGGTGGTGACAGATAATAGAAAGTTGAAGCCTGACCATTGATTCCCAAATCAGTAGAGGATGTTCTTGCTGCCAAAGCTGGGACAGCAGGCTGGACAACTGGCTATTTAGTGGTTGTGGGGTAGCCAACAGACAATTTGGTGGTTGCAGGCTGGTCATGCTCTCCCGTCTGGCCTTTATCTGATTGGCAGTCTGTTTCTGCAGCTGCAGCACAGGCTATCCTCTCTCGGTCGCCCAACCAGCCGCCAGGTGGCTCAGATCTCGTTTTGCTATCCTTCGCTGCGTGTGCTGTTGACCTTGTCCTGGCCACCCCCGAAGTGAGGCCATGAGGACGTCCTACCTCTTCGCTCTCTTCACGGGAGTCAAGCTCCTCGGTAATGCTGACATCTCCGCGGGACTCAAACGAGTGAAGGCTGCAGCGTCCGACGCTAGTGCTTCCGAATACAGTCCCAAGGAGCTGCTGGTGGATCACTCTACCAATGGAGGAGAACGTGAGAGCCGGTTGCTGGATGTGGAACTCCTGAAAGAAGTGATCGCCGCCAGAGCCAAGTCATTCACAGCCATGGCGGCTGCGGTGGCGGGCATATCGGACGAGGAAAAACGATTGTACGACCTTCTCGTATTAAAAGATTCTGCCCTCACAAAAGGTTGCAAACTCTCTGCAAAACACTACACGGAGGATGACCTAAGATCTATTTTTGAGGAAGAGGGTCACAGGCATTTAGACGTAGCCCCTATCCCCGCTGCAATTCCAGCTTTGCTTGATGCTCTTCACAACGAAGTGGGCCCATTAAATGTGGCAATCATGGTCTTGCTGATGAGAGATGACCGAAACTGGGCAGGAGCAGCAAAAATGGTCGAGCGTGCGCAATTTGTCAAGTTTGCTATAGAAGGTGTTTCGTCTGAAGAATTGGAAGTCTACCTGAATGCTATGGCGCATTATTCGAAAAAGAAGCGAGGCTTCTACTTTGTTAGAGCTGCAGTAGGCAATTACAGGAAGCTCCTGGTCGACTACGCAAAAAGAATGCGTATGCGCCGAGGCCTTATTAAAAGTGAATAGTCCGGCCTTTCACATAGTTCCTTCCATACTTGTCGTGCCTATTTTTTTGCTTTTACTCATCAACTTTTTATCGAAACTAAAAACGTGTATAAAAATGTGCTTGTTAACAACCTTTGTCTAAAAAGAGCTTTAGTTAAGCGTGTGTGCATCGCATACTTGGCGTTTATACCTATCGAATGTGCTGTCTGTCTTACGTTGCAATACAAAGATGGCCCCGACCACAGTGTCGTCTTACACGCGCATGATGAATAGTTACGATATGATTCATGTAACCGGCGTAGTGAGAGCGAAGCTGTGTGTTTGGTGCAGGTCATCGAGTGACTGTGCCGTCGTGTGTGCGCGTGAATTCAAAGATAAAAACTGTAAGTTGCGGTGTGGACGAAAGCTGAGATCGGGTCAATCATTTATCCAATGTGGGCTTCGACAGAGATGGTCAACGAAAAATGAGAAGGTGGCAATTCCGATGTGGTAGCTAGGTCACATCTAGAGGTAACTGATAGTATTCAGCTTATCGATGATCATCTGACTGCCCTGTTGGTATCGGTACTTTCGCTCCAGAAGCGTTACAGTGAAGCCCACTGCTGACTTATTTGCCGCGCATTCAACTTCAACGTGACTTCATTGCAACGGTAGCCAACACCGTGACTACCACTTAAGCGCCAATCTTAGCGGCGTGCTCCACATACGATCGAATGAGGAGGCAACGTGTGAGGCAACAAACACACGATCTGAAAAAGCACTCCCGATTTTGTAAAACGTTTGCTGATGAGCCACTGATAGTCCAGGCTGCAAGCCTGTATCGTTTTTCATAGCTTAAGTGCAAGAATCCGCATACTTAAGATGTACCGTGGGTGTCGACCGCCAGCTATTGTCATCCCAGAGCTGCTTCTGAAGAATTTATATTCCATACAGTCTGCGCTAACCACAAGGTCTTGTGTCACCGAAAGACTCACGCACGAACACGATGCCATTTCTGTGGACGAAACAGACGCTTTGGTCGTTTCGTTTTTCTCGGAAACGGGGCTTAGTGTCACTAGTCATATCGACAAGGACGTTAAGGTCCCGTCCCGTCAATGTCCGAAAGCAATGTGCCCGCTCTCACCCCTCCCTCTCCACGAATTGTATGCGTAATCCATCCGTTTGTTTGATCCAAATCGTTTCTAACGCACCGCCCAATCCAGTCATTCCGTTTCTCCATCCACTAGCAACCAACGAGCGCCACCACCACCACGCGCAATCAAGCGTTTGATACTTCTCCGGAACGAGCTCCGCGCCAGCCAATGACCGAAGCCCCACACAGCCCGCTGTCGTCATTATCCGGACTGTGTGTCGCCCGTCTCGCTGCTGGTGCTCCTCAGCGCGCGTTGCTCAGCATTCTACGGTGCGTTTCTAACCTGCGTCCTCAATTCGTGCTCTCATACTAAACCCAAGTCACGAAATGACCACATCCTCGATGCGTGCTTTGCCTCCAGTCGTTTACCGGAAGAACTGGTACTGAAGCTGCTGGCCGATATGATCGCGTCCAAGACGCTAACGGACGACCGCCTGGCCGCTTTTTTCATGATCTCACGTCGCGTGCTCAACCTGTCGGGCTGTTGCTCGATCCGGAACTCCATTTTACGTCAAATTCCCTTCCGCTGTCCGGATCTGGTATGCTGGATTACCAGGCGGTGCTGCTGCTTTTCAATGGCTACAGACAGGAACGTGTACTCACGCTGTCTTTGTGCACGGATATGACAGCGCTGCTTGGATCTGTCTAATTGCCCTCAAGTGACCAACACGGTGATTCGCGCCGTGTTGCAGGGATGCTCCAGTTTACAGACGCTCCAGCTCGCTGGATGTCGCCACATTACCGACGCTGCATTTCAGCCGGACCACTCGCCCTTTTACGCGCTGCACGCGTGTACGTCGCTGAAAGTCGTGAGCTTCGCGCGCTGCTCCCAGCTGACGAAGGATCTCGTGCTCTTCTTGATTAAAGCTTGTCGGTCACTGACTGACATTGACTTTTCGCACTGCAAGGTATGTGCTTTGTTTTGCTATGATCGTTGGGGGTAACGCAGTAAAGTGAAGGGGAAGAAGGGGCGATAACATTTTGGTTGTGGAATGGCTTTATGGATCCTTTTGTGTAGCACATTCGTGACGATGCAATTCACCTGTTGCTTCGCTCCGCGACTGACCTGCAACGACTGAACTTATCGTTTATGGACATCTCGGATAGTGCATTCACGACAGAGCCGTCGGACCAGCGCAATGGATTTAACGCCATGGGCCGAGCTTTAAGTGCCATTGACCTCACCCGAAGCAACATCACTGATGCCACGCTGTTTGCACTGGCCAAGCACTGCCCGCTCCTTGATGACGTCAAGCTCAGCAGCTGCAGCAGAATTACGGACGTGGGCATCGAAGCGCTTGTGCGCTCATGCAGACGTTTACGCAAGTTGGACTTGACGAATTGTGCGCTGATTACTGATCGTGGCGCTGGCATGCTTGGAGTTTATGGCCAGCGATTGGAATATCTAAACCTCTCGTGGTGCATGAACATCACTGACAAGAGCGTCGTGGATATCGCTCGTGGCTGTGAACAGCTCGAGGAAGTGCAGCTGATGTGGTGTACGCAGCTCACGGATGCTTCAATCGACGCGTTCCTTCCCGAAGCGATGTCAACATCAGAAAGGGTGACGGGAGGGATACGGTTGAAGCTTCATCTCTGCGGGTGCAAATGGATTAGTGCTGCGTGTACAGAAAATGCTCGCAAGCACGGACTGGAGATCGTCACAGCATCCTGACGCTCAGCGCCGTGGAGATGCCATGCAATTCGATGACCTTCGTAAGCTGTAACAATTAATTTAAACATTTGAAGACCAAATGCATGCATCCCACATGACCCCGTTTATTTTCGACATCTGTACAGGTCGATTATGTAATGATATCTTTGAGATGGTACGATTCGTTTCGTCACCAACTGTATAATGGTTTTTTTCTGGTGGATGAAACAAAGTGTTTCATTTTCAATGCAAAATGAATTAGAAGGTCTTTCTAAATTGGCATGCTCAAATTTGGCGTTTTGTGACAAAAGTGGCTACTCATTCACTGGTCGTTTCTATTTGTTTTGTCCTTGTCCTGCACCTCCCACGTGGCATTCATTTCTATTCCGACCGCATCATGTCGTGGCGGCGCTTTGACCTCAACGTCAAGGGCGTAGAAGGCATCCAAGAACGCACGATTGGCGGCGGCATCGTGACGCTTCTGAGCTGTGTGGTGGCTGCTTTTCTGCTGCTTTCGGAGCTCTCGGTCTGGTGGACGGTGAGTGTCACGCACCGTATGCACGTGGACACGGACCCAGTACGTTTCGTCCTCGATTTCGTACTTAAGACGACGCCAATAATTGTTGTAATCGTCAAGTACTCACTGAATGTATGTTAAGCAGCAAGATTTTCCCATTACCGTTGAGGTGGACATTTCGTTCCTTCACGAGACTTGCCAAGGTACTGCTACTTCACGTTAAGTCATTTTTACTGGAATTATGATAAGTTACGGTATAAGTAAACGCGGAATTTTGTGTCGACAGCGGTAGCACTAGACGTGAGTGACGCCAAGGGCAATAAGGACATTTTGCTGAATAGAGACATCCAGGAGGAACCGTTTGGAGAGAACGGGTGCCGATTCTATGGCACGGTGCAAGTGCAGAAAGTGGCGGGCGATTTGTCCTTTGCTCACGAAGGCTCGCTCACCATCTTTTCGGTCTTCGAATTCCTCAACTTTAACTCGTCGCATGTGATCAATCACCTGCGCTTTGGTCCGCAGATTCCGGATATGGAGACGCCACTTATTGATGTCAGCAAAGTCCTGACGGCAAACTGTAAGTGGAAGGAGCTGCTTTTGTATACTGTCGTTATACGGTACTAATTGGACGTTTCATGACATAGTGGCAACGTACAAGTACTTTGTGAGTGTCGTACCCACTCGCTACATCTTCCTGAATGGCAGGTCAGTGGCAACGTTCCAGTATTCCGTGACGGAACACGAATCGGTTACACGGGGTCCAAACGGTCAGGTGTCGTTCCCCGGGGTAATATTCTCGTACGATTTCTCGCCCATAGCTGTGCAATACGTTGAATCCAAGCCGTCCGTACTGCACTTCCTCACCAGCACAAGTGCCATCATTGGCGGCGTCTTTGCTGTCGCGCGCATGATTGATGGTGCCATTTACAGTGTCTCCAAGAAAGTTGACTAGCTGTATCTAGGGCGGGTGGTTACTCATTTCACGGCGTTGTCATTGCGGACGTAAAATTTGCAGCGACACTCGATGGTTGAATTGCTCACGACCGTAACCACAGGTAGCTGGAGTCTGGTTTCTTGTAAGGAAAATCCCATACTGTACACACTGCACAACTGCTTAGCTTTCTGCTTTACGCGGACCGGGGGACGTTGACCGAGAGAGATGCGCAGCGCTCTTTCTTACGGCCTCCAGTCGCTGTTGAAGCTGCTCTTCTTGCGTCAATTGGAACTGCCTCCGCTCCACACTACCGTTTGACACGCCGTCGTCTCCATTGTCGACAATGTCGTCGTGAAGTGAGGACACTAGCGCCATGGCCTGCTGATCAGGCAACTCATTTACCACAGCAGCCACATCAGATAGGATTTCTTGCGCGAGGTTCCGCTTCTGGTCGCTCGAGTCGAACACTATGGCTGCATATGCCAACGCCGTTTTGTCCACGACGCGAATGACAGCAGCTAGCGGTAGAAGCCCGACAGCATAAAGGTGGAAACTCGCACCGATGTACGTGCGAAAGGAGTGAATACCGCTTTGGTTACACTCCATTCCTCGGTAGCAATGCTGGCTCGGCGGTTTGTTCATGGCGTGATTACGAATCACGTCGTGAATCAGCACGGCCGACACAGCGTACAGATGAGGACTTTTCAGCAGTTCCTTGCCAAGATCAATATCGCCCTGACCATTGTCTCCGACAAAGATAAACTGGTGTTCAGCAAAGACCCGCTTGTACCGCACAAAGTTCTGCATGGCATGCACTGTTAGTGAAGTAAGAACCCTCAAAGCCCGTTGTTTGGCGCTCACCCGAAGTTTTCCTGACGCAATGCGCTGCGAGCCCCACATGTTTGTAAAACGACCCATCAAGACTGTGTAACAACACATGTCAGGTTCTGTCAGCTGCAGGTTCTACGGCGCCGTACTGACAGCATTACGTACGAGTGAAGTGCTGGAAACCGCATGCACGGAGCTCTTGTAAAGATCGCTTGCGCAAAAACTCAGGCCTGGCAGTAAGGAAGGCCACACGTTGCACCGTTTTACGTTCCTTGTACCTACCACTCTCCAGGTCTTCGCAACGATTGCTGACGTCGTCGTCGGCACTAGCACTCGTACAACTCGAAACTGAACGACGAAGCAGTTCCTGAGCAAACTGGTGGACACCCGGGTACACCGTAAGCTCCGGATACCGCGTGTCAAAGAGAGCAGCCAGCATCGTATCGTCGATATCACTATATCAATCGAGCAAAACGACGCGTCAAGGTTAGCTGATCCGCACATAGAACTCACTGGGCGAAATGCTACCAGCAGACCGTACCACAATAGCTTCATCGGAACGAAAAACGACGACGACGATCGAAGTACCATCGCCTCTGCCTCAAAATGGTTCAGAATCGCTTCGCGGTCCACTTCTGACCGAATGCGATGGTAGATCAAGTCAAACATAGGAAACTTGGCGTCCACCTCGTCCTTGAGCTGCAAACACGCCAAGTGCCGCTTGGCACAGAAACAGTTCCGGATACACGAGACGACAACCCGCTCGGCGGCAAACTTTTGCAGCGATAAAATGATCGTCGCGAGTGTACCCACACTCAGTACCGAGAGCTCCAAACGAGAGCTGCAAAATTGTGCAAAGTGCTGCGCCTTGACGGTGGAATTCAGCAGTCGGTGGACATCGATCACGTTAATAAACGCTTCAGTCTCTCCCGGTGTCTCGCACGCCGCCAGCTCTGCGATCGTGTCGGTATATAACGGCACTTTACCGGTATATCGTACCCCTGACACCATTAAAAGTAGGGTACCACATGCCAATAAAAGTTAGCACATCAAACCTACGATTTAAAAGTAAAAATACCCCTAGTCGCAGCGCACGGGCTTTACGGTCTACTGCGAGCAGCGCCTCGCGCTCGCCGTCCGAGCCCGAGAGCGCGACATGCGAGTGTCGAGGCGCTCTAAACGACGAGCGCAGTACACGGAGAGGGTTCACTCCATGACACAAGAGCGTCACGCACAAACACAAGAGCAGCAGCGTCACAATCAAGACGGGCGCGGCCACCTCGAGCTCCTGCGCCTCGTTCATGATGGACCAGGATACTGCTACTTTTGACGGCGGTGGTTATTTTCGGACCCGACCGAAAATAAGGGCGTGCACGTAAAACTGCTTCGGGACACCACATGTACACCACACGAAGCATCCTCATCATCATCATCATGTTGACTGTACTTCGGCGTCAATGGACCGCGTGTTCTGCGCTTCGGTCGCGCCGTCTGCGAGCGTACAGAGGTACTGCGCCATTATGTAGCTCTAGTCACTTGAAAGACGATGCACTGGCTATGCAGGTGCAGAAGTGGCAGCAGCAGAAGCAGCAAGAGACGGCTGATGGTACCGTCAAGTATCTATCGGTCGATCGATCGGCACTGAAACAGCCAAGCGCCGCGTGGACTAATAAATTAGGGGAAAGTGTCAATGCAGTTAAGGAAAAGAGCCCAAAAAACGCTCTTGTGCACGTTCTCCGCTCGATGATTGAGGTGAAAGGGCCACTCACAGTTGCCGAGTTCATGACACGCGCTGTGGGTCACCCCGATCATGGCTATTACATGAAGAAGGACGTGTTTGGCAGTCAAGGAGACTTTACAACAGCGCCGGAGATCAGCCAGATGTTTGGAGAGCTCATTGCGGTGTGGTGCGTGGCAACGTGGCAGCAAATGGGAACGCCGAGCCATGTCAAGATTATTGAAATGGGGCCGGGACGAGGCTCCCTCATGAGCGACTTTGTGCGTGCTGCCAAGTCTTTTCCGCCGTTCTACGACGCTCTTGAGATTCATATGGTGGATATTAGTCCAGGTACGTTTTGGTGTGGACGAGAGAGAGGTGGTAGCATCATGGAGTAAGCAGTCACATGTGTTGTGTGTTTGTATCCGTTTTTTTACTAGCAATGCAACAGATCCAACAAGAGACGCTAAAGTGTGAGCCAGTCGAGGACGAGACAGCACCTGAAGACACCATGCGGCTTCCCGATAAAGGCCCAACAATTCGCTGGCATTCAGACTTGGCGAACGTCCCGCATGGTCCAAGTTTGATCATCGCTCAAGAACTCTTTGATGCACTGCCGGTACACCAGTTCGAGTACACTGACCGGTGCGTCTGCTCATTAGTTTCTTGGCAAAGGAAACACTTGCAGTGTGGGCTCATGTTTGTGACACTATGTTTCGGACTGTCTTCGATGCGAATGATGCAGAGGCTGGTGCGAACGCCTTGTGGACCTCGACTTAGAAGATGGCGATGACCACTTCCGCTTTGTGTTGTCGCCTGGACCAACGCCGGCCACGCGAGTGTACATTGGCCGTGAGAAACTGTTTGACCCGTCGACTGCACTATCGCCCGTAGCCGAGACGCATATTACTGGTGTTGAAGACCTCGAGAAGATGCAGAGCACTGTATTTCAGCGCCTGGATGTGGCAGATGTGGTGGGCACTCCCGTGCGCACCACACAAGCGCAGGTCGGAGACAAGATCGAGATTTCTCCGGTCAGCATTGCGCTCGTACAGGACATAGCCAAACGCATCTCGCAATCAGGAGGCGGCGCGTTGATTGTGGATTACGGGTACGACCACCCGTCCGAGCTGAGTCTGCGTGGCATCAAGAATCACGAGTTCGTTAGTGTGCTGCGCGAGCCAGGTGACGTCGATCTGAGTATCGACGTCGACTTCGCCACGTTGCGGCGTTATGCAGCAGCAGAGTCCAAGGTGCAGAGCTCGGGTCCCGTCGGTCAGGGCGTGTTTTTGAAGAACATGGGCATAGAGCATCGCTTGGCTATGCTGCTGCAACACACCGAGTCGGAGAAGGTTCAGCAGGATCTGTTCTCGTCCTACGAACGTCTTGTAAAACCTGAGCAGATGGGCAGCATCTTCAAGGTCATGGCGCTGACGCATGCACAAATTGGCCAGCCCGTGGGTTTCGAGGACGTTCCAGGTGCACCACAAGAGTCGTGATAAGCAGAAATGATCATTCTAGTCGTTCGTCGGCTGCCTCAAGTACAGGCTGACACCCCTATCTAGAGCAGAAGAAACTTACAAACCATTGAACACCGTTCACTGCACCAAACAAAGTCGTAATTTATACCGATAGCAGACTACACTACCTAGCAGCTCAGCTAGCACTGAGCTTCAGCCACCACGCTTACAGCTTCAGAGGTCCGTGGTTCGGTTTGTACTTTTCGTGATTGCCATCGACAGCCAGCGAGCCGTTCGCACGCATCTCAGCGTACAGCTCACGCTCGTATTTGGTAAAGCCCCACTTCTTCGAGCCAAGAACTTTTTGACGACCAGGGAATTTGAACTTGGCACGACGCAAAGCTTCAACGACCGATGGGCCAAACGAGTCCTTCGATCGTACCGAGATAATGGGCTGGCCAATGGACACGCGAGCTGCTACGCCCGCAGGCTTACCGTAAGCGTGACGCATACCCGTCTGCAGTCGATCGGCACCAGCACACGAAAGCATCTTGTTAATACGCAGAACTTGGAACGGATGGCAACGGATGCGCATGTGGAAATTGTCCTTGCCGCAGTACTTGGTCAAGTACCGATTGGCAGCAATACGCGCAGCTTCCAAAGCTTCCGAAGACAATTGCTCCTTCTCATCGGAGACCAAGTGGGCAACGAACGGGAACGTGTCGACCGAAGCTTTCTTGTTCCCTACATCGTAGATGCGGATCTTCGGGTCCGGCACACCACGGCAGTAGCGGGACTTGATGAACGGTTTCTTGTTCTGAAAACGGTAGCATTTGGCTGGACGACGACCCATGATGACTTGTTTGGTAAATCGCACACTGCGGGGAGGAGGAGGACGACGACCCGTGATTGCAAGGCCGCGCGTGTTCTTGTCCAGTCAGCGGCTAGACACGCTGAACGATGTATGATTGGCTGAAAGCAGAGACAAAAGAAGGCTTTTTGCTTATTGGTAGAAAAGATTCTGACCGGCGGTATGACGCAATCGGCGTGGAAGAGAGAGAACGAGGGGGATTTGCTATTGTTTGGAAACGCCCTTTATGATTGCGTCATTTTGACGTAGATAGTCAGCTACGATCAAATTGCAAAGGGTTTTTGAAGCCGTTGATAAGAATAAAGACCGATGTTGCAGATGATGGGAAACGTTCAATAGCACAGATTCGAAATTAACGTCTCATATCTGCTTTATCGTCGCTCGTTGATCGCGGTCGTATCTACTAACCATATGACTGCAAGCAGTTGTTCTCCTCATCCTACAGGTCGAACAGCACACCAGATGTACACGTGGTTCAAAAGCTCGTATCGGTTGCTGACACCACGGTTAATGTAGAATCTTCTCTCTGCTGTGGCGACGTTAGCCAGTTCGTACGCCTAAAATTTACAAAGAAGCGGAGAAATGTGCGTTTGTTACTTAACACGCATTGACGCTCATCTTTTTTTACCAAGACTGTCGATCGTTAGTGCCCGTCAGATGACGCAGGTTGAGCTCTATACGCTTGTAGCCAACATGCAGTTACATACCCCGAATCTTTTGGTTTGATTCTTTCTCGACCCGGCTCGAGCGGACGTGAACAATGCTGCGGGTACATTCTCTTCGTAAGTGAAAGCCGCAATGTCTCCTCGCATGTTCGTTCCCGTCTCGTCATGGCGGTATACTTGCTCGCCATTCTGGAAACATTGACAGGAACGAAAGAGTTGAGCAGGAATATCGGGTTTGCCCGATACGCCACGGCATAAATGCCCAACGCACACCTTGTGTGGCAGTGCTTTCGAAATTGAGGCACAGCATCGGCAAAGTTCGAGTTATTCGCATCACGCGTTCGTCCACCTTCGAACATTGCGGCCGATCAACGTGGAAGGGGTGACCATCAAGAAGCAGATTGATTGACTGGAAATCGTGTCGCTGTTACGTCAAAGGCGAGCGACATGACGTTCGCCCTATGAGGAGTGTCAGATAGTAAGCAATCGACGTGAAAGACATGCTTTTTCGCTTATTCTGGTATTTGCATGATGCTGTTCGCCCCCGTCGGGAGACACGTGGCAATGTCCAGTATGTGGTTGTACGACAACTTGTTTGGGGACGCCGAGACGAAACGGAGGATAAAGTCACCTACAGAGCCAGAGGATTCGCCATTTCCGCAGCCGGTCAATGGCTGCTGGGATTGACAAGGTACTATTTACACAGCTGAAAGCCAATGCGTATGCACCAACGAGGAATATCTCTAAGCTACTGGCCAGATGACGCACAGCCTTTACCCTACGTACCAACGACATACAGCACTCATTTCTCTCACATCGTCAATTTTTGCCACATCTTTAGTGTCTTGTTGAGAATGCTAAACATGAGACTGCGTGGGTGCATCACGTCTTGATTGGCGATCAAGTCAATCTTTTTTGTAGATGCAGTGGGTACATTTAGTATTTCTAACGACCGACCTCTGCCCTCTTCGGCAGTGCCTACATATCCCCGACCGGATGGCCACTACTTACTAAGTTCTCTGGGGGACAGCCAGTCCAGGGCCCCCAGACTATTAGATGTCGTGGGTTGCTTCTACGAGAGGCCGAGCTCAGTGGTACCGGGGTTCCCGGATGGTACAACTGAGATTTATGTGTCACACATTCTAAAATGACCTTGGGTTTTTGAAAGGGGATCTAAATCGGCAATCATTGGATTGGAACGGCAGTGCTTATTTTAGGCATTAGGGGAAACCCCAAAATAGAGTCAATCTGGTGCTCACGCGTGTACGACAAACGAATTGCTGCAACAGGTGCGGGATTTCTCACGGCCAACTTTCGACGTCAAGTTGAAGTTCGTTTCACAGTTTATTCGCATGTCAAGTTCAATATGTGGCTCTGTTCAATGACAAACCCATGCAGACGTTCTTCAACTTGAAGCTGCGATCTACTTCACTTGAGTAAACTATGAGCATGCATGTCACGCTGGCCAAGGTGGTCTCATTCTCGCTTTACACTATTCAACAACAGGTCGAAAGTATCAAATAAAAGCTTTTTGTTGACACCATAGCGACCACAAACCGCATGATCGATAGCCATAGCGTTCTGATGGACTCGATCCCGCGCTTGCGCTGGAGCCCCACGAACAACCGCTTTCACTACAATGTGCCCGTAGCAGTTGAGCCGGGGGACAATGGCTTCGTGTTGCTGCATGAGTTTGAGCACTCGGACTCGCTCTGCTCACTGAAACTGTCGGGCAAAGATCGCCACGAATTGGAGGAAATGGAGCGCATTAATCATCTTATTCACGACGTGGAGAACGCGGTGCATCTGCATCAAGCGGTGAAGATGCTGGAGCACAAGCGCACGCACCACGAAGAGTTCCATGAACACGCAGGGAACGACAACGACATGCGGATGGAGATGCTCAAGAAGAAGGATAGCCTTTGGCAGCACCAGCCGCACAAGCGCTCGTTCGAGGGACGACGACAGAAACCCACGCGCGTCGGACGCGTACACCAACCCAAGTGAGCGCCATTGTCGCGGCATTCTATTGTAAAAAGAGCGTGTGACCCCCTCAGGATGCCATTTACGTGTAGTCGGTTGTTGAGTCAAAAGCTGTCTTTTCGAGTTTATATGACTCCTCTTCCTTCACCACTCGTATGAGCTTTCGTATGACATCCACTTGCATGACGAACCTCCGACACAAGTGCTCATAATGTGAGACCCTTGAAGTAAGCTAAACAGGAAGGAATATGTCGAAGTATAAAGTGTGAGTACTCTCACAAAGGACTATAAAGAAAACTCTCAAAACTGGTCCGGTCTTTCTTGATTACATTCTATTCTTGGACAAAATCCGGATGTTCTGTGCGTGCGAAACGCACATCAAATGACCACAAATAAGTCATTCCTCGCGCCAGTAATTAAAACTGCGCAAAATGTATTTGGTGGGTCATGAAGTCACTCTTTTACTAGGTCACTTTTGTACCGCAATAGTGACCTAGCAAAAGAATGACTTTGAATGCTTGTGATGGGCTTAATATCGATCGAAGGTGAATATGATGATCACGTTAGCAAGTGCTGGACGCTCGTAAGCAAAGGCCGATCGCGTTGCCGTAGCCAAATGTACTGTGTAAATACCAGAGGTGAAAATCCCCCGATTGTTTTGGTAGATACATCGGGTTTTAGTTTTAATACAAAAACCCGATCTTGTCATGGTTTTTTAATGAAGTCGATACTCTACCTATTGGACTAAACCGCCTCATTTCATCGACGCTGCTCTCATTGTCACTGCCGTACTTTCACTGGCTGCTTTTGGTGAGTCGTAGACAGCTCCAAGGTTCGACTTGATGAATGCAAGCTTCCTGACGGTAATCGGTAACCGGTGACCTTTCGCATGGTGCTGCCACACCGTACCACTTGAGCTACAATCTCTTCCGATAAATCTCACACCAAGGCGCTTATGTTACAACAGTAACTTGGGATGAAGGGAGGTCGCGGAACCAAGGAATGTGGCGTTTCGAGGGGTCAAGAATTCCCTCAGCACGACGTTCAGGAGCCGAAAACAAAAAACAAAAAAACAAATTCCACCGACCCAAGTTTTGTTCTCCTTAAAACCCATGAAAACCCGATACAAAAAAACCATGTCATGCCAGCTCTGGTTAATACAGACATTAACGATCATCATGCTCATTCTTCAGTGTCTGCCATTGTGCAAATTTTTGCAACTTGATTCAGTTCTTCGAACGGGATTACTAATATCAAGGGGCAAGCTCCAGACCTTGCTCTTGTGAATTTATGCGTAACTGGTTACCAAGAGTGCCGACAGATGCAAGGATACGATGTCGATGGCGACATGCGACCGTTTAGTAAGAAGCATGCTTCAGCCGGTGTCGAAAACTGTCCAGCTACCCGCTACAATATGTCAGTAAATGACTTGACTGAATGGTGCATACGAATGGTCGCGGAAATAACGTCAGCATCTGTAGACTGTTCACTTTGTGTAAACGACAGGTGAAAGCTGACTAGTCCTTGTCCTTTCTTCAACAATTTCCAGCAGACTGATCGAACCTCATGCCTGGTGGATAACCTAGGATCCTAGTATATGTTTTCACGTCTAACGCATAAGCTGTCGAAATGTGACTAAAGGTGGTGCTCTTTGTACGCATGGTGATCATGACAAAGAAGGTAAATCGCACATTGTCGTTTCAGATGCAGATAGCAGGAAATGCTTCCGCGACAAATCTAGACAGCAAAAAAGCGATAAACGAAACGCTGAGTCAACTACATGAGGCGAGAACGAACGACTAAGGACTGTAGGTATAGTCGGTGTCCCTCACACTATCCTTTTGAGCGTGAAAAGAAGTCAATCAGAACGCATTAATTATCGCAAATGGAAGTAATCGGAGTTGGTCGCCTATCTGATAGTGCACGGCAGTTTTAATGTATGAGCTTTACAATACGATACTGCTCTTGCTACAATACAAATTTGACAAGGATGTAAATCATATCACCATTCAAGTTCATATCTAAGAGACGCAGCACTGTGCGGATATTAACCTGAAGAAAATGTGACGTAACACCGACTAGCTGCAATGAACTTGCGCATCTTCTTGGTTGTGAAATCAGCAAAGAAACAGAGGTAAAGAACTTACCTGCGCTGGATGTCTTGCGACTACTTCTTATCGGATTACGATGACAGCTTGATGCTCACAATTGCTTTTTTTTTTTAGTAAAAACGGGGCTCAGTTGAGAAACATCATAGTCCCAACGCCGTATACATCATGGCAACCATGATATGCACCATGAGTCAAGTATAATGAAGTGCGCATCGCCTAAGTCGGCATAGAATCACGCATCTTTGGCAAGGACTGGTCTTTGGAAAACCTTTTGCCGATGAATCAAATTTAAAACCGCTTGCGACCGTCACCGCGCCTTCGTTGACACTAATGCTTAAATGAACACAAGTCGAGGACTGGACCAGACACTTTTAGCGGTTTGAACCAAAATGTCAGGCAACCGAGTGTAAAATAGTAAGATTGTTCAGATTATGGTAGTCGTTGGCGTGTTCATGGACCTCCTGTTGGAACATTTGGGGGTTCGTGGCGTGGATATTTCTATCACAAAAGCGATCGCCTGCTGGAACTACACGCACTTTTGTGACAGGGCGCTAGCCAGCGTCCGACTCCTACAGAGCCAATAAATAACGTACCTGACAAAGGTGATGGTATCAGCATTTAAGGCCAGCGAAAAGCGGTGGAAACGTGCAACCAATGCGGACCTTTTGAGTGATCCAGCGCTGGTGGACCCAAGAAATCTCAGTGACGAGCAGAAAGCGAAGGTGCAATGCATCGGGTCCTGGACCTGGAAAGACGAAGACGAAGAACGACCCGTCCTGGCCTTTGACAACTTTGGCGCGTCCCACTGTGGCTTCTGCGTGATCCCTAACGCTTTAAACGCCAAGACTCAATTAGAAATGGCTCGTTCTTGTCTGTACGTGCAGTACAGAAGCCACTTTGACCACAAAGTAGGAGCTTGACCTCGTTGGTTTTCCGTGCAGGACCGAGTTTGCAGAAGAGCCACACGTGACCAACATGCACCTCCTGCATCAGAACGTACCGGATATCTGGCACAAGGCATGCGTGTCGCATCCACGAGACCCAGCACAGTCTCCGCTACTCTCGAAGTTGTGCTGGGCGGCTTTAGGGTACCACTACGATTGGACTGCAAGGAAGTACGATAAAAACAGCTTCTCGCTTGTCCCTGAAGTGCTGCAGGAACTCGGTAGAAAGTGCGCTGCTGTATGTGGCATGACGTTGACAGCTGAAGCTGTGATTGTGAATTTCTATAAGATGAAGTCTTCTATGGGTGGACACTTGGATGATGTCGAGTACACGATGGATCATCCTGTGGTATCGGTGTCCCTTGGTAGTCAGTGTGTGTTTCTTATGGGCGGTCAAGGAAAAGACAAGCCGCCGCTGCCAGTGCTGCTACGAAGCGGCGATATTGCTATCATGGGCGGTGTATCAAGAACATGCTATCACGGCGTGGCTCGTGTGCTGCCCACTCCATTTACCATTGCAAATGAGGATCTAGACAAGCTTTGCCGCGATGAAAAGGATCGTGCAGAGCACAAGGCAATTCGAACGTATCTGAGTACGCAGCGTATCAACATTAACGTGCGCCAAGTGTACCCAACAGATCGTGTTACAGATTGAACAGTGTGCTGTCAGATGTAGAGATTTATGAAGTGTCGATAGTTATACTATCGTGATTGAGCTGATTAATTGAGTCGGTGTGTTAGACAAAGGTCATCAAACATTTTTCAGCAGCCAGGAGCAACCAAAGAAATGAATCGACTCGCCTGTACACGTTGGAAGTCGTAAGTGCTCTGTGCTGAGCACGATTTGCCAGATCTAATTTCATTTTTGAAAGAAAATTCTGGAAAGCGTGGGGATCCTGGTTGTCTTAAAAATCCGTTACCGCTATTTGTTAGAAATCTTGTCTGGTTTGCACGACCAGTGCAAATGTGGACGGAGTTCACCGCATCTAGACTGGCATGCTGCGTTAGTCACAGAATGTAGAGGAGAATGAAACCCATTAAAACGATGGTGCTGTGCACCGATAGAGATGAAGCTAGCCATTGAGATTTTAGTTTTTGAGCTGTTCGTCGGATGCATATTAATTTATTGGATGTGGTCGGACAAAGCCGTTACAATCGATATCAACTGCATGCAAAGAGACGCGGTTTTCATACTGATATTTGTTTCACCACTAATATACCTGACAATGTGAAAGAATGCGCATCTCCCTGGCCAAGAAGATCAACATCTAATTCACCATCTGCAGCTCGAAGAAACAAGTGATCAAGCTCTTTTCGGAGACGTTGGCTGATTGTGTGGTGTCGCAGAATATGCAACAGCCGAAAGACCCGCGTATTTGCACATACATTTGCCAGCAGCTTTCAGGTTTCACCGCGACAAGTCACCCACTTCAAAAGCACTTCTAACAAGGCAATGTAGTGTTGCGAGTCGCTGAGTTTCGTATGACTGTTTTGATCGAATCTATCGCTCTCATAGAAGCGATCAGTCTACAAGTAAGCATTCCGTGCAAAAAGAACGGCACATTATTTGTACTATATCGCGACAGGCTCTACCTGTTACAACAAACAATTTGGTGATACGCCATTCCGTGTTTAAGGGGCACATTGATAGAGTTAGAAGCTATATTGGGATGGTGGCGTCCTAGAGCCGCGCACGTCCCTTCTGGACCGCGTTATCCAGTGTTCCGTAGCACTCTGGAGACAGCGTGTAACGGGGTGAATCGTTACATAACAATTTATAAGAAATTGTTAATAGAATATAACTAGAAGAGTTATATTCACAGAATATTGTCATAAGGACAAATATTCTGCAGCACTTACGAGTAGTTCCTAATTGGTTGATATAGGCCATTGTATCAACCAACGAAGACGCGCCACGACATACGCACGCAATGAGTGGTGAGCAGATAGTTGATGTACACATTTGTATTTAGACATAGTTAGATGAGGATAAACAGTGATTTATTAACAGACACTGGCTATGCTAAATACAGTTCTACTTTTTACTTTAACTAAGTACTCGCTTCTTCTTACCGTCTTCCTCTGCACGTACGAGTGTACGTGAAGTTACGAGGCACCGCCTTAATCTGTCGTCAGAATAAGTAGCTTGTACTGTCATCAGTACAAGCTTCAGGGTGCCCCGTTACAGAATTAATGGAAGGCCTGAAGGCGAAAAGCTGGACCACGAAAAAGGCAGCTGTCCAAGCACTTAAATGTGTGGCACTCGCGCAAGCTGAATGCGCTGTCGTGTCTACGAGATGTGGGACATATCGTCTATTACAGTGTTACAGTGTGAGCTCAAGCTGCTAATGGCATGCTCGATTGGCACGATACAGGAACAAACATGACTAGGTAATTGGCATGTGGCGGATGGAGAATTGGATCACCAAATTGCGTTAGTATCGGGAAGCCTTCGACGACTTGATTAGTTACCAGCTCTATATTCCGCGGTGCATTGTCTGCAGAACCTACCATGTCCACAAGAATCACCAAGCCAAGATGACTACATCCTATCATGTAACGCATCATGCCAAGGGCACGATAAATGAAGAGCTATTTTCATAAGATCTAGCGAAGATTACTCTTTTGACGAGTCTGTAGTCATAATCTCAGCGTCTGAACCCAGGAACATTTACGGAGCTCCAGTGCGACGTGAAGGGGCACTTCTACCGGGAAATCGTTGTGCAAACCCCGAAGCAGTTTTCAAATGATCAAGGTTTTTTGGTGTCGATGCAGGTCACATGAAACATCTTTAACACAACGGAGTTCAAATTGTATTGGATAGTGGTGGCAGTGTTTTAGTAACAATACTGCGCTTGTTCTTGTTGGAGACTACAATGATTACTCGTGGTTTTCCTTGCCGTGTTTCAAATTATGGTTTTCCGCTGACTACTAGTCCCGTCTTTAGTGATCGATATGCTGGCCTAATATATGCCGCTGATAAGCTCAACATCTTTAACATGTTCTGCATTCTTCACATGATAGGTACGGAAAGGCCACGTTATCAGCAGTTTCTCTCTAACTTGCCTTATATTCCTAGACAGGTAATATGAGAAATGACATGATGATATGACTATTCATTAATCACCCGAGAGAAGTTCGTATGGAAGGCGAATGCTGCATCACGCCGATCATATTTCGATATCGCGATGACCAAACTATACGCGACCAACCCAGCTGCCGCTATATATATTTAAGTGCTATACCAATTCATATTTGGATACTTAACGTATACAACGACGCAACTCCACTTTACGTATGGCGAACAACCAGCTTTGTTGAGACTGAGAAAGCACAGAGTCTCCGGTTAAATCCATGGCTTATTATGTCAAACGAGTTATGCAAGGCTTATACGATTATTATGATGGATGAGTGATACAGACAGTTTTAATTAGGGGCACCCTTTGTTTTGGGGTGCCGGGAAACTTTACGTACACTAGTACGTGTAGAGGAAGCTAATCTACTTGAAGACTCGTTAAGTAAAGGTAAAAGAGAACTGTATTAAATATAGTTAACTATCAGATAACTAGTTTATCAAATATATTAAACCTATGAAAGACACCACTCATTAATAGCGTCTAGAAGCGATTGGCGGCAATCTATGGTTGATACGTCTTGTATCAACTAATCTTGGAGGAGTGCATGAATGTTATCTAAAGGGGATAAAATTTCTTCATTGTGATTCATCTCGGATAGTATTGGTAGGATTTTGTCATGCTAGACAGTATCTATATTGACACCGTTTGGTGCCAATATCATGTAACGGGCTACTTCGTTACAGGTATGCTATGGAGAAAATTGGATGTACAGGACGCCTTGGGTCGTAAAAAAGTTGCAGAAAAATTTCCTGAATGCTGTGGAAAATGGTATGACATTCCGTTCTGATAAGCAGCATTCGTCGCTCGATACACAAACAACTGGAGCAACACCGTGTCGACACCAAGCAAGCATCATGCTCATTCAACATGTAAGCAGCACCAATTTTGTACCGCCATTTATTGCGACCTTAAGAGCGGTAGGTAAGCCTCATATTGCGTACGAGCTGGTGAGGGATTGTTACAAAGATGCGGCGTATCAAGCGAGCATCGGTACGCTTGAGGTTGCTGAGGACCACGTGATAAAGCGTGATTTTATTGCTTACTCATAGTTCATATTCGACAAGCCGGACGCCCGAAGAACGTAAGGTCAGAGGGTTATTCTGGCGGGAAAGCAAGGAAGCCTAAAAATGAAAGCAGTTTAATACAGTGCGACACAACAAACCTACATTCCGCGGTATTGACGATCGACTACCGAGATCGATCATCTTTAGGCTACATTATGGTCCAACATGAATGTAGTTGAATTTGGAATTCAAGATGCCCTATTCTTTTCATACACAAAGGTTGTTTAAGGCGTCTAGCAAAAGTAAAAGCAGCAACTACTTCGTAATAAACAGCCAAAGAAATTGCGGTAGATACGCTTGTTGATTGTAACGGGTGCATTAACTTGTCAAAAAATTCTCGGGCGAGTTGCAAATCCTACATTTGGCATACCACAACATTGCTTGCTTGCGTGTGACAGATTAAGCCGGCGACGTGTACACGTTCGCATATTTGCCGTGATTATCGAAGCGGTTTCCACACCTAAAATGAAACAGAATTCGTCACATCTTTTGCGCCATTTCAGAAATTGTCCACGGATTTTGGAAGCGTTATAATGAAACATATGTGTCAAACTCCACTATTCGGATGACAAGTCCCTGTCGATCCATTCGCCTGCTCTAACTTTCGTATTCGACCACTTCGAGTTTATAAAGTCCTTACTTGCAAGTCGGCGGACACATAAATACGTCGGAAGCTTATCTAGTCAGACATGTAGCCGTCATCAGCGCTCACAAGCGGAAAATTGAGCACCTCAAAACTTTCCAGAAGTTCCTTTGCATCTCGTACAACGCCGATCTCATTTAAAGCATAAGCTGATGTTTATTATGTGCTGATGGCGACGTCGAGGTCTCTAATTGTGTCACTTGAAACCAAAGAAAGCGTCCATTCGATCGATCGGTTTACTTGTACAACTTGATCCACTCTTCCTCTTGTCCGATGCCAATAAAAAGCTGCGTGATCGTGCGCGAGGACACAAAATCGAAATCAGACTAAGAATTTGCCGTCTTAGGAGTTGGTGATGAGAGCTTGTATTTGAGATACGTGTGGGGCACTTCTGCTGCCACACATCAGCGGTTGTGACGCGGTGAAAGCCTCCGATCGCTGCAAGTGCATTGCCATACGTCACTTCTAACCCGCTAATAAACTCATAGTGTATTCTGCAACAGTGAGCGCCTTCCCTGTCTTCTCGTGCGAAATCAGATGCGAATAGCGAGAAGTGCCCTGCCAATTATTCTTCAAACAAACAGTAACCTGGGCCTTGAGATTGCTGGTATTTAGATCGTTGTCATTATAATTAAAAAATATTCATAAAATACTTTGCATCACATCTTGCAAATTTTTCGTTTTTTATCACATATTACAAAAACAATTTTGAAATCGTTCATCCACCAAATTTGTTATATGGCCGATAAGTTGCAGACAGAATGAGCGGTAAGATACAAGAGCTAATTATAAAGCTCGCTGGTTGATACAA